CCTGGAAAAAAGAAAAAAAAAATTATTATTATTATGTATTATCTTGTGTTCATAAGTCCTCTAGATCAGTCATTTAAAACTATTTCAGTGATCCAGAAACTAAAGAGTGCAAGTGTTCGTACGCATTAAAAAAGGCCACTTCAATTTTGCTATTGAAAACTGGTGCTTATCTCTTGTGTTTTTCCTCTCAAAGTTCAAGAATCTCGCCGGTTTCCCAAAACAGTGGGAATAAACTGGAATGTACAACACGTAAGGCTAACCAAACGAGGTTTAACGTTTTCAAATAATCCTGATGGCTCCGCTTATCAGCCAAAAAAAGGCAGGTCCCGGGGGAGTACTCCTCGGAATTCTTGGTGGGGGTGTGCTGCCCGGTTCTCCAAATCCTGACCCGATTCCAGACCAAAAAATGTAATTTTCCGTACTCGTTTTCAGACCAGTCCTCCAAACTCCACACCCGTTTTCATACGTGGCCTTTAGGCGGAAATTATGTTATCATTACTTAGATTAGAGCGCAAACAAACAAACTCATCAAACCATTTCGAATTCGCACATTTCTCTTTCGTTCTTACTCATTTGGAATTGAAACGATAAATACTTTCATACACTTCCGTAATTCCCCCGAAAACCTTAACCGATTCCAGACCAAAATGGGCAAAGTGTATACCCGTTTTCAGACCAAAACGGCGCAAAAACCCTACCCGATGGGGCGGCATATACCTATATAGCTTATATAAGGGAGTTCCCCCCGCCCCCCCCCCGAGGGGGCAGCTCTCGGTTGTATAAATTCTGTTCAAACTTGTGTTTGAGAATGAAAGTGTATGGTAATGACTTTAAAGTAAAGGGAAATACAATTTATGCCCCGATACATCCCATCAATAGTCAGGACGATTTCTAACTTTGATAAGCTGTTTTGGCAAATTGTCAGTTTTTGAAAAACAAATTCTGTTGTTGTCCACGACTTTACCACACGCAAACACACGAAGGACTTAACAACTGCTGCATGCATAACACGACCACACGCCATGGGAGTTGGCCACCTTACTAAATAACTGGTAAAAAACGCAAATATTCAACAATTATTCCGCGAGCCCGAATAATTGTTTTAGTAAAATCCAACTAGCTGGTCAAAAATATCGAGAATAAAAAAAATTAGCTAGTTAAAGCTAGACTTTAATCCTTTTTTGCCGCCAAAAAGCCCGCGCTTATCGCTACTAGTGGGCTATAACATATAGCCTAGTAGTATTTCAACCAATCAGAACGCGGCATAGATAATTGACCACTAGTTGGATTTTACTAATATCCAGTAGTCTGTGGGGAAACGATTAAAGAGGCAGGGATTGAGGCTGTGTTTACCTCTGGAAAGATTCCAGCTAGGTCCCTGTGGTGAAGAAACAGACAATTCGAAAATGTTAGTTTAGATAATTCACTAAGATGATGCCATGTTAATAGTATCTATGTTATATTTCTTACACCAGTGTGTTCTTCTCTATTCATGAATACTGTTGTGTCTGACCAAATAGAATACTTCCTTTACCTATAAACTATAAACAATTTTTTACTTTGAACACGCGTAGGCCCGAGGAGCTTTTCCAGATATACAAAAAAGTACTGCAAAAAAGTGCAATTAAACAATTGAGAGCTATCCTTCGCGTGAACAGACTTAATCTTTATGGGGCTAATATAACTCGCTTTGTATTAAAGTACTGGAAATATTTTAATATTTTAAAACAGCAAGGTCATTTATTTGAGTTGAAGAATTCAGTACAAGTCCGTTGAATAACATCCTTGGCCCGTTTCAGATTTCTCTTTTTCCCTAATTATGACGTCATCAGATACTAAACTTAAGGACTTTTAGTGGTCGTTAAGACTTAAACACTTCTCCGCGAATTATGAGGTATGGCCAGGACCTTACGCAAGCGCACACCCAGATCACCTTGCAATTGGCAGCCACGGACAACTGTTTCGCCCTTTTGATTGGGAGCTCATCAGAGTGATCATTGCATTCGGATGGTTCAGCACAATGACATTATTCAGCGTCTACATGTACTTAGCGTCTATACTCAAGGGATTAAGGCCTGGCTTCTAGGGTCAAAAGAGTGTTGTAAAATATGATTGACTGGCAATCTCTTGCTAGGATACCCCGAACGAACAGGATAAAATTTTTCCCGAAGGGAAATCTTGGGGTTTTCAGCAGCAGCCTTGACGTATCTTTATGGTCACGTGAAATGCCACTTGATCAAAAGTTTGAAACAAAACATATAATGAAAATGTAGAAAGTAATGGCGATCGAGAAGGCCTAAAGGAAACCATATGAAGCTATGAATGTTAATTAGGTCTGCCCTCAAATACAAGTTTTCAAAGATGACATAAAAATTACGGCGACGGATACAATTATTGCCAAAAATTATTATTACAATTTTTATCATAAATTTATTGGAAGTTTACGATTAATACAAATACAGATTATTACAATTATCAGCATAAATGTATTAGAAGTTTACGATTAAGGTGTTTCGATACAGTTTTTCAGAAGCCATAGCAATATTTTTCAATCGCCTTAAAAGTTTTTTTTTCCTTGTACGATCGCTATAAAATTTTCACCAGTAATTGGCTGTGGATTGAAATTTGTGAAAATGTAGTTTTAGGTAAAATCGATATTACTATGACAACAATAAACAAAAAAATTGAAATTGATAAAGGCCGAATTTTGTGTGATCTAGGCTAGCTACTGAAAATCCAACACTAGAAACTTAAAGTTTGGTGTTAAGCAAATAACCTCAGCAAGAAGTAAAAAATTCTGTATGCCAGTTGAATTCGAGTAAAACGAAAATATTTTTCAAACCATAAATTTTCAATAGCCGTGATAGATTATTTAATAAAAACGTCAAAAATAACTCAAATTATTCTTAAATAGCGTCAGAATGCTGCTTAATATCATATTTTGCTGCTAGGAAATTTTGATGCATTTTCGTGCTTGAGATCTCGAAAACTAACCCGTTTTCTCACCACGTTTATAAGTACAACTTCATTCAAAATTGGACTTTAAGCGCTTTTTTGTATACCTCTGAAACGACTAGAACAATTTTTTTTTTAAATCTCTTCACATAATCTTCATAATGTATATAATAAGGTCTGAAACTTTCATTGAGATTGATTCACTGCAACATCTTAAAATTTCAAGACAGACCTATCCTACGAAACTGTCAAAAACCTGCGTTACAGCATTCACTTTTTTGACGTTATGCTAATTTTTCCAAAATAACGCGCACTACACATACCTCCATGACTAGTACATTTTAGTTTGAAATTATCGCATCTTTTGGATGTAAACATTGACAATACTTACACTGAAATGTGCTAGTCATGGATACATGTATTGTCGCTAAAAGTCCAAATTTTGAATGAAGTTGCAATTTAGACGGGTGGTGAGAAAACGGGTTGGATTTAAGATCGCAGCAACGAAAATACACCAAAATTTCCTAGCATCGAAATATGATATTAAGCAGCATTCTGACGCTGCTTAAGAATAATTTGAGTCATTTTTGACGTTTTCATTAAATAATCTATCACGGCTATTGAAAATTTATGGTTTGAAATATATTTTCGTTTTAGTCGAATTCAACTGACATACAGAATTTTTTAATCCTTACTGAGGTTATTTTCTAAACACCAAACTTTAACTTCCTATTGTTGGATTTCCAGTGGGTAGTCTAGATGGCGCAAAATTTGGCGTTTATCAATTTCGAAGTTTGTTGTTTATTGTTGTCATGGCAATATCGATTTTACTAAAACCTACATTTTGACAAATTTCAATCTATAGTCAATTATTGGAGAAAATTTTATAGCGATCAGACAAGGATAAAATCTCTTTTAAAGCTATTGAAAAATATCGGTATGGCCTCCGAAAAACTATATCGAAACACCTTAATGTTTTGAGTAATTCACGTGTGAATTTGGCCATTGAAATGGTGTTTGTCCTCATAATTATTTTTATCAAAGTTGCAATGGACAGTTTCTGTAAACGTAAATTGTTAGAAATATTTAATACAAAGACTGTGAAGGGAAGACGATTTCTTTTCTAAAATCGGTCACCAATTCGTTACTTATTTGAGACGTTCAGTAAGAATGGTCACGTGACAGTTCAAGCCAGGTACTAAACGGATACTAGTTGTACTTTAATATTTTCAAGGACCTTAATGTCTCTCTATCTATACCATTTCGACTCAGTTCCATTCCTGACAAAATTATCGCCAATAAACCATTTTTTTCCCAGAGGTAAACTCACTAACCCAGGCTTTAAACTTCTTGAAGTATAACTTCAACGTTAACCCTCAGACGAAACCCACTAATTTTCCTTCCCACACTCGAAATTCCTGTTGAAAAAGGGAGATGGTGAAGAAAGGCTAAGCAACTGCAAAGGGAATACATTACAGAATTCTCGATTTTTTAGCTAGATAGGACGTTCCGCAAACAGGGAGAGTTATTGTTATTTTTGCGTCTTTAATTTGTTTTTGTGGCTAAGATGCATTATTCAGAAAATAATAAGTATGCAATTAATTTAAAACAAAAGCAAAATTGCTATTGGCTAGTCCATAGCTGTATATGAACAGTTAACATTAAAATAACACCTAATTTAATACCTTAAAGTACTTAAATTCTCGCCTGAGAGCTTTAGAACGGACAGAACGTTTCTAGCTTTAAATTACTTATTACTATTAGGATTTTAAGGGAGAAGACAATACAACTGTAATTATTACACACCCTTTTGAAACAAAATGTCACTCACTTCATTCGAAATGGGAAATTTGGCGCTGACTATATAGAGTCGGGACTTAACAGATCGACAAAGTAATTTAAGCAATCTGCAAAATGAACAGCTATGAGTGCGCCCCTGCTACGATCGGTTCGACATGAAAGTGAGGCAAACGAATCGTATTAAGCGCGGGCCTTTTTTAAAACAGAAAGGCGCAATTCTAAAAATACCTACCAGAAAATACAGTCTATTTATTATCGCGCTTACTTGAACAGATCACTGATGCATCCTCATGGTGTCCACAGTTATGCACACCCCATGGATTGTGTCGACAACTCACAATGGAACCTTCATTTCCCTGACACTGAACACCGTCCAGCCAAATCTTTCCACTTCCTTGACCAAACCGTGCACTGTGTGGAGCACCGACAGCAAACGAATACCCAAGTTGACGACAGACAACTCGAGCATCATTTTTATCCCAATTATCGTCACAAACAGTTCCCCAGCTACCGCTGTAATAGATCTCCACTCTGCCCTCTCCAGGCCAATTTCCTCCAATCAGTCTCAAAGTTGCTAGTGTATAAGTTAGAGGTAAATTCTTATTTGGGTTTTGAAAAACAACTCTATTCCCTTATCTGTTATCCTGTCAAGCACACAAAATATTTTAAAATGGAAAACTTCGTCTTTTTGTGTAATCTGCAGGGAACTTCTACGATGCTATTCGACTGAAGTGTGCAAAGAAATACGGGAATACTGCGAAATGTTACAGAACAAGACTAGGAATTTTCATTTTTTAAGAGCAACCACCAACAGACCGGTATAACGCCGTCATCTTTCAGCTCCCTCGTCGATGACCATATTTATTATTGAGGAACAGAACTTAACTTTTCTCACGAGCCTTGATTTAAAAATAAAAACGTCCGTGAAAACACCTTGACATACTGGCCAAGAGAGTTTAATGGGACCGGCAGAGAGGGAATCTTAAGGTGTTGGCGTGGGTATGTGAATTTCACTAAATTTATTTTTAGTGATCGTAATTAAACGGAAGTCTTATTCCTAAGGCGTCTGTTGAATTCTCTCTTGTCAACGCTGAATCAAGTTTTAACAACAGTGGCAAGTCAAAGGTGAGAGTGCGGGGATGATTACAAAGCCCTTTATGTATTACACCAATCATGCTGTGATATATCATATAGTAGTTATAATTAAGCGATGTGTGAACAGAGGTTTGTGCAAATGGCTGCATAGGTGAAATTTTAATGGAAATATTATGAACTGCGAGCTAATAAGAGTAGGAAAAATTATCTGTAGAACAGTTTCAAAGAGTCACACTCATGTGACGCCTGTCAAGTAATAGATCCTTATTTCCACAATGTAAACTATTCCAATGGCTCTACAATTATATAGTCATTAATTTCATTATTTCTAATAGTAAATAGAATCATACAAACTACGTATTACAAAATTGAAGCTTGCCCACCCAAGATATCGGGAAATTCTAGGGTCCAAGGCAAGTTTAGACTGAACAGAGGTGTCAGCCCTAAATGGAAGTTGGGCTGGGGTTTGTTAATGATTAACCAACAAATAAAACTGCAATTTTTATTCTGCCTCGGAATCTGCTGTAGTCATTATTTCAAGGATCTAGATAATGTACAAAAAAATCCTGATTAACTTATTTCTGTGATGTGGTGTGTTGAAGTCTCACAAGTGCAATACATCGTTTTCAAGTCAGATAGTTCATGTTTGAAAGCTGTCGCCATTGTGACTAGTGAACACTTGAAATTATCAACGAATTTTGCCGTTAGTCAGCGTTTGGGTGCTGATTAAGATGTCCCTTGAATGAAGGTTAAAGCCGGGTTTCAGGACCCAGAGAAAGTGTTCCTTTCCCCTGAATAGAGATGTCCCTTTTGAACAGAGGTAACAAATAAAAAGGTTATGTCTGTGAACATTTTCCTGGGACTCCACTGAATTTTCCCTTCAATAAGGAGAAGTCCGAGAGGGTCCATTGTAATTGACATTCGCTTCAACTCTAATAAAAGCTGTTAAATCATAATTGTAAATTACAATCTATTTATTATTACGCTTACTTGAACAGATCACTGATGCATCCTCATTGTGTACACAGTTATGCTCACCCCATGGACGGTGTCGACAACTGGCAATGGAACTCTCATTTCCCTGACACTGAACATCGTCCAGCCAAATCTTTCCACTTCCTTGACCAAACCGTGCACTGTGTGGAGCACTGACAGCAAACGAATACCCAAGTTGACGACAGACAACTCGAGCATCATTTTTATCCCAATTATCGTCACAAACCGTTCCCCAGGTATCGTTGTAATAGATCTCCACTCTGCCCTCTCCAGGCCCACTTCCTCCAATCAGTCTTAAAGTTGCTATTGTATAAGTTAGAGGTAAATTGTTATTTGGGTTTTAAAAAACAAACAAACAACTCTATTCCTCAATCTGTTATCCTGTCATGCACACAGAATATTTTAAAATTGAAAACTTCGTCTTTTTTTGTAATCTGCACAGAACGTCTGCGATGCTATTCGACTGAAGTGTGCAAAGAAATAGGTGAATACTGCGAAATGTAACAGAACAAGGCTAGGGATTTTTTCATTTTGAAAGAGCAAACAGCAAGATACCGAGATAAGACCGTCATCTTTCAGCTACCTCTTCGATGACCGTATTATTGAGAAACAGAACTGAACTTGAATTTTCCCCCAAAACTTCATTTAAAAACAAAACTGTCCGTGAAAACGCCTTCACATACTGGCCAAGAGAGTTTAATGGGGCCGGCAGAGAGGGAATCTTAAGGTGTTGGCGTGGGTATGTGAATTTCACTGAATTTATTTTTAGCGGTTGTAATTAAACGGAAGTCTTATTCCTGAGTCGTCCGCACATTTTAATCAAGTCCAGAAATCAAGCCCTCAATACAAAAAAAAAAAAGCAGAATATTTGCAATGGGGCTGTTAAATTCTCTCTTGACAACGCTGAATTAAAGGAACAGTATCCCATTACAAACGCATTTTTGTCGCGAAATCAAAAGATGCGAGGAGAGTAAGAGAACCTTGAAAAATCCGTTTGTATCGTGCTTGGCCGACTTCAATGCTACAGTTAAACTTCTCAGAATTACAAAGCAATAATATATTGTTCCCGTTAAATTTCGATTTAGGAGAAATCGTGATTGTTTGGTGTTACTTTTATTGCCGTTGGCCGGGGAACCAAAAGACGAGAAGCGCTTTGATGCCAGTTGAAGGCTTATTTCTTGTGTTAGCTTCCATACAAGGTCTGATAATTGTGAAAACACTACGGAGAAATGAAACAGCAAAAATAAAGACTGTATGAAAGAAACCATTGAGACCATTGATGTGGCTAGGGAGATCTTGTGCAATTAAGCTTCGTAAAGCAAGATGTTTTGTAAGGACGCGTTAGTAAACTTTTAAATGAACCTCCCAAAGGCCGACAAAATCAAACAAAGAGGCGCTACATGTTTACAAAACCTAGTGCTATGAAATCATGACGCGATGAGTCTTCGTGCCGCGAGCCAAATTTTCAATAAGACGAAAGATTTCTTCGAAAGTCTAAGACATTACTTGAGAATGTAAACAACAAATCACCGTTGTCGATGCGGTCCGGAAAGAAATCTTGTCGAGTCAATATGACAGTTCTATTGTCTTTTGAAGAAAAAAATAAATGACGCTCGCGCGTGCGCATATTCGGGACACTGTTTCTTTAAGTGTGAACAACAGTGGCGAATCAAAGGTTAGAGTGCGGGGATGATTCGAAAGGCCCTTATGTATTACACCAATCATGCCGTGATATATCATTAAGTAGTTAATTAAGCGATTTGTGACTAGTGGTTTGTGCAAATAGCTGCGTACGTGAAATTTTAATGGAAATACTATGAACTGCAAGCTAATAAGAGTAGAAAAAAATTATCTGTGGAACAGTTTCAAAGAGTCACACTCATGTGACGCCTGTCGAGTAATAGATCCTCCTTTGCACGGTGTAAACTATTCCAATGGGTCTACAATTATATAATCATTAATTTCATTATTTCTAATAATAAACAGAATCACAAAAACTAAATATTACAACAACTTCACACCCAAACTATCGGGAAATTCTCGTGTCCAAGGCACGTTTAGACTGAACAGAGGTGTCCGCCCTGAATGGAGGTTGGAATGTGAATGTTAATAATTAACAAACAAATAAATCTGCATTTTTTATTTTGCCTCCAAATCTGCTGCAGTCATTATTTCAAGCATCTAGATAATGTACAAAAAAATCCTGATTAACTTATTTCTGTGATGTGGTGTGTTGAAGTCTCACAAGTGCAATACATCGTTTTCAAGTCACATAGTTCATGTTTTGAAAGCTGTCGCCATTGTGACTAGTGAACACTTGAACTTATCAACGAATTTTGCCGTTAATCAGCTTTTTGGTGCTGATCAAAATGTCCCTTGAATAGAGGTTAAAGCCGGGTTTCGGGATCCAGAAAAAGTGTTCCTTTCCCCAGAATAGAGATGTCCCTTCAAAAGAGGTGACAAATAAAAAGGTTATGTCTGTGAACATTTTCCTGGGACTCCACTGAATTTTCCCTTCAATAAGGAGAAGTCCGAGAGGGTCCATTGTAATTGATATTCGCCTCAACTCTAATAAACGCTATTAAATCATAATTATAAATTACAATCTATTTATTATTACGCTTACTTGAACAGATCACTGATGCATCCTCATTGTGTCCACAGTTATGCTCACCCCATGGACGGTGTCGACAACTCACAATGGAACTCTCATTTCCCTGACATTGAACATCGTCCAGCCAAATTTTTCCACTTCCTCGACCAAACCGTGCACTGTGTGGAGCACTGACAGCAAGCGAATACCCAAGTTGACGACAGACAACTTGAGCATCATTTTTATCCCAATCATCGTCACAAACCGTTCCCCAGGTACCTCTGTAATAGATCTCCACTCTGCCCTCTTCAGGCCCACTTCCTCCAATCAGTCTTAAAGTTTCTATTGTATAAGTTACAGGTAAATGCTTATTTGGGTTTTGAAAAACAAACAAACAACTCTATTCCTCAATCTGTTATCCTGTCATGCACACAGAATATTTTAAAACTGAAAACTTCGTCTTTTTTTGTAATCTGCACAGAACGTCTGCGATGCTATTCGACTGAAGTGTGCAAAGAAATAGGTGAATACTGCGAAATGTAACAGAACAAGGCTAGGGATTTTCATTTTGAAAGAGCAAACAGCAAGATACCGAGATAAGACCGTCATCTTTCAGCTACCTCTTCGATGACCGTATTATTGAGAAACAGAACTGAACTTGAATTTTCCCCCAAAACTTCATTTAAAAACAAAACTGTCCGTGAAAACGCCTTCACATACTGGCCAAGAGAGTTTAATGGGCCCGGCAGAGAGGGAATCTTAAGGTGTTGGCGTGGGTATGTGAATTTCACTAAATTTAGTTTTAGTGGTTGTCATTAAACAGAAGTCTTATTCCTGAGGCGTCCGCACAGTTTAATCAAGTCCAGAAATCAAGCCCTCAATACAAAAAAAGCAGAATATTTGCAGTGGGGGCTGTTAAATTCTCTCTTGACAACGCTGTATTAAAGGAACAGTATCCCGTTACTGCGCATGCACCAAACGTTGATTTTTGGACAGGATGGCGCGAAATCAAAAGATGCGAGGAGAGTAAGAGAACCGCTTCGCGCTTGGCCGACTTCATTGCTACACTTAAACTTCTCAGGATTACAGATCAATAATATATTGTTCCCGTTAAATTTCGATATGGGAGAAATCGAGCTTTTTTGGCGTTACTTTTATTGCCCTTGGCCGAGGACCAAAAGACGAGAAGCGCTTTGATGCTGATTGAAGGCTTATTTCTTCTGTTAGCTTCCATACAAGCTTAGATAGTGTGAAAGGAATACGCAGAAATGAAACAGCAACAGTAAAGACTGTAACAAAGAAACCATTGAGACATTGATATGGCTAAGGAGATCTTGTGCAATTAAGCTTCGCAAAGCAAGATGTTTTGTAACGACGCGTTAGTAAACTTTTAAATGAACCTCCCAAAGGCCGACAAAATCAAACAAAGAGGCGCCACATTTTTACAAAACCTAGCGCTATGAAATCATGACGCGATGAGTCTTCGTGCCGCGAGCCAAATTTTCAATAAGACGAAAGATTTCTTCGAAAGTCTAAAATATTACTTGAGAATGTAAACAAAAAATCACCGTCGGCGGGGCGGTCCGGAAAGAAATCTTGTCGAGTCAATATGACAGTTCTATTGTCTTTTGAAGAAAGAACAGATGACGCTCGCGCGTACGCATAATCGAGACACTGTTCGTTTAAGTTTGAACAATAGTGACGAATCAAAGGTGAGAGTGCAGGGATGATTACAAAGCCCCTTACTTATTACATCAATCCTGCTGTGATATATCATTTAGTAGTTAATTAAGCGATTTGTGACTAGGGGTTTGTGCAAATGGCTGCGTAGGTGAAATTTTAATGGCAATACTATGAACTGCAAGCTAATAAGAGTAAACAAAATTATCTGTGGAACAGATTCAAATAGTCAAACTCATGTGACGCCTGTCAAGTAATAGACCCTGCTTTGCACAATGCAAACCATTCCAATGGGTCTACAATTATATAGTCAGTAATTTCATTATTTCTAATAATAAACAGAATCACAAAAACTACATATTACAACAGCTTCACACCCAAAATATTGGGAAATTCTCGGGTCCAAGGCAAGTTAAGCATGAACAGAGGTGTCCACCCTGAATGGAGGTTGGGATGTGAATGTTCATAATTAACAAACAAATAAATCTGCATTTTTTATTCTGCCTCGGAATCTGCTGCAGTCATTATTTCAAGCATCTAGATAATGTACAAAAAATCCTGATTAACTTATTTCTGTGATCTGGTGTGTTGAAGTCTCACAAGTGTAATACATCGTTTTCAAGTCAGATAGTTCATGTTTTGAAAGCTGTCGCCATTGCGACTAGTGAACTTATCAACGAATCTTCCCGTTAGTCAGCTTTTTTGGTGCTGATTAAAATGTCCCTTGAATGGAGGTTAAGGCCGGGTTTCGGGACCCAGAAAAAGTGTTCCTTTCCCTTAATAGAGACGTCCCTTCAAAAGATGTAACAAATTAAAAGGTTACATGTACGTTAACACTGAGACTCCCCTGAATTTTCCCTTCAATACGGAGGTGTCCCGAGATGGTCCATTGTAATTGACATTCGGCTCAACTCTAACAAAAGCTATTAAATCATAATTATAAATTACAATCTATTTATTATTACGCTTACTTGAACAGATCACTGATGCATCCTCATTGTGTCCACAGTTATGCTCACCCCATGGACGGTGTCGACAACTGGCAATGGAACTCTCATTTCCCTGACACTGAACATCGTCCAGCCAAATCTTTCCGCTTCCTTCACCAAACCGTGCACTGTTTGGAGCACTGACAGCAGAAGGATGCCCAAGTTGACGACAGACAACTCGAGCATCATTTTCATCCCAATTATCGTCACAAACCGTTCCCCAGGTACCGTTGTAATAGATCTCCACTCTGCCCTCTCCAGGCCAACTTCCTCCGATCAGTCTCAAACCTATCGGTGTATAAACTAGACGCAATCAATTCAAATTTTGGTCTTGAAACAAATCTAAACCTATTTGATTATGCAAGCATTAGCTTCATGGCTTAAGCGTTTGTTAAAAGTGCTCGAATTTGAGCAAGTCTCGGCTTAAAGTAAATGTTCTAAAGCGATGAAGAGCCGTTGACATATTTAGATGTCTTATATTTTTTGCAAGCTCTCCCTTACGCCCTCCCGCCATTCCATCTGTAGTCAGAGCCAGTCACAAACAACCCACCACTTGCCTTGCTCAAACTTAATTCAAATCTACAGGGCTTCCAAACAAAACCACCAACTTCAGGGGGCAAACGAGGTGCCTTATGGCAGATGTGCAAATAGAAAGTTCAAAAACTTAAATGATATATAGATTTAGCCAGGGCTAAAAGCGAAGCTCCCGTTAATAAATTCATAATTTGAATCAAACAATAAACTTGTAATCCACAGATCAGGGCACATTCATTTGACGTTTGAAGCAAAGGCTAAGTGACTGGTGATTTTAGAGAAAAATGATTTGACAGTCCAAGAGTGAAACAGCTTTTACATCGAGTTATTAAATAGTCCTATTTGTACACCCAAAAATAGCAATCATGTTCGATCACAGTAGATTAGGCCTGGAAAACAAATAGACCTACCTATTCGTGTATTGTATTTGCATTAGCTGTTGCATCATAATGTGGCATTCACCACTCTCTCCAACATTGCTCCGTTTGAGAGACTATGGATAATTGGACAACCCCGAAATATAATTTTAAGAAACACACGCGCCACGATAGTCCTTAGTGGCAGCCAATTTACACGTTGCATTCCTCTGTCTAAAAGGGAGGCCAAAATAAAAAAAAACAGGCCGCATTTTTTGTGTTCGACAAGTTTAGTTTACTAGTAAATCTTGGCCACGAATCTGGTGGCGTGTAAACCAGCCTTTTAAACATACTTTTTCTCATCACGTCTCAGGTAAACAGTACTATGAGGCCCTTGTTTTTATCATACAGTCCTCGGACAGAATTTGTTCTTTTTTGCCCTATTTAAACCTATAATTCTGCAGTTTTTCACAATTTTGCAAGAGAATATGCACTCATTCAATATCCACGACGATCAAAGCACGCCCTTCCTTTGCACAACAAATTATAGCATTGAATTATAAAACGTTTTCATGGGGAGAATTCTATAATGCCAGGACTTTCAGTTAGAAAAATCTTGTCCTATGTGATATGCAGGGTAATATGGGCTTTTAATGAAAACGATAAACAAATTTCCAAAATCTCTTTTCGGCCAGCCGGACGGGGCTCACTTTTGACAGGCACCAAATTTGCAGTGCGATTAATAGAGTCACCATTTACGCTTCAACATGATAGATAAATTGTTATGTTTAGGTTTTATTTCCCTTTCTTTATTAAACTGCGTATGGTTTTGGTATGTAAAATCTTTAAAAGCGAGTGATATTTACGCGCAGCGTTTTGAGTATTCCTGCATGAGATGTTTATGTTCGACTGGATACAACCGGTGCAGCGATAAAAATTGCGAGAGGGACTACTAACAATCAATAAAATAAATATAATTCGGTGAAACATGTACAGAGACAATAATTTTCATTCACGGAGAGAAGTATTGAGAGTAAAGTGTCTTTGAAAATCATGAGTCAGGTAAGCATACGCTTATTTATGTTTTAAGCAGGCTTCCCGGTGTTTGCTCTTTTTCAAGATGAACTCGAGGCAAGAAAATCGCCCAGAGCTTTCTGTTTACAGCCAAAATCATAAGTAAATAATCTTCGGAACATTTTCTTTGAATTTGCGGTCAAATAATGTCTTAAGGCTTTTTAAACCTGATACTATTGTAGGTTAGATCATTGCTCGTGTATAAACTTAAGCCGCATACTCCATACGCTCGACTTCAGGAAACCGAAAAAAAAAACATCAAAGACAACAATTTCTCAGGCTTACCAGTCGAGATGCTGCTTCTGAGGGTCAACCCTCTTACGCCTCAAGCAAGGGCAAGTGAGTAAGCTCATTTTTGAAAACGATGCCATCCGAAATCGGATTTCCAATGACTTTGACAAGCGGTGCATTTGTCAACAAAAAGCGCAATAAACAAACCAGCCATGAATTACTACATCATAACCAAATTTTCTCAGATGGATAGTTTACCAAATTTTCTTACCCATGGTGCTCCGCTATAAAATGACTTAACGCGGTAGAAGTTGGATTCTAATTTCAACAGTGTTCAACAAGGTTAACTACCAGCAGCTTTTTTTTCCCTTTACTTTAATTTTACATTTACTTCGGTCTTTTTACTTTTATTTTATTTTATTTTTTCGTTTTTAAGAATACTTTAATACACAGGTCGTATTTAATATCACGGTTTCCTCGATTTACACGGGTTTTTAATTGAGTTGGTGCACTATGTATCAAGTGAATAGCAATCTACAGTTACAATGATCCCTAGCCCGTAAACAATAACACAATGATTTCCACACAATACAACGACACAATAGTGTATATATTGACTTGGTATATCGAGCATCACCCGGTTTTAAACAAAAATTAATTCAAAAAAGCAGATTTAATATGGCGTTGTTCCAGTACCTTCTCCATTAATAAACAAAGTCATTAAGACGCCACTACTATTTTTAAAGATTATCCGTGTATTAGCCAACTTCATAAGTTTTTAAACATTTCACTATTTTAGCATTTTTCCGCTTCATGGCTACTCCTCCTCCTTCATTATTTCTAATAATAAATAGAATCACACAAACTACGTATTACAACAGCTTGCCCACCCATAATATCGGGAAATTCTCGGGACCAAGGCAAGCTTAGGCTGAACATACAGGTGTCCGCCCTGAATGGAGGTAATATGCTAGGGTTTGTTAATAATTAATTAACAAATAAAACTGCATTTTTATTCTGCCTCGGAATCTGCTACCGTCATTATTTCAAGCATCTAGATAATGTACAAAAAATCCTGATTAAATTATTTCTGTAATGTGGTGTGTTGAAGTCTCACAAGTGTAATACATCGTTTCCAGGTGAGATAGTTCCTGTTTTGAAAGCTGTGGCCCTTCTGACTAGTGAGGACTTCACCAACTTGCCTTCTTTAGAGCCTTTAGTTTGTGAGAAACTTAATTATATTTCCTGTACTACTGAGGAAATTTTAAAGCATCTTAAGTCTCTTAAAACGAACAAGTCCCCGGGTCCAGATAGAATTTCACCAGTAATTTTAAAATCATGTGCGTTCGAATTGGCGCCCTCGATCTCATTTCTGGTTAACAAATCTTTCCTGCTGGGCCATTTGCCCGAAGATTGGAGATCAGCTGATATTGTCCCACTTCATAAGAAAGGTTCTAAGCACTTGAGGAGAATTATCGTCCAATTTCGCTTACATCCATGATATGCAAAATCAGCGAAAAAATTGTACGCGATAGGTTAACGTCATTTTGGCAAGACCATAACGTGATAAACAAAAACCAATTTGGTTTTTTGCAGGGTAGGTCTACTGTGACCCAATTACTCTCTACTTTTCATGACTTCGCCAGATCTAGGAATTCATCTGTTGCAACAGATGTTGTATTTCTTGATCTCGCAAGGCTTTTGATAGTGTTCCTCATGAGCGTCTACTCATAAAGTTATATAGCCTCGGTATTGAGAGCAAACTTCTTAACTGGTTGAGGCATTTCCTCACGTGTAGAAAGCAACGAGTTGTTGTAAGAGGGACTTTTTCTGATTGGGCACCTGTGATATCTGGTACCCCACAGGAAACTATTCTTGGTCCAATTTTATTCCTATCATATATAAATGATATCGTTGATAGTGTCTCTTCAAAAATTAAATTATTTGCGGATGACACAAAGATTTACAGAGAGCTTCGCATGCGCAACCCTAGTCTCGATGAACAATACCTTCAAACTGATTTGAATAATCTTGGTAAATGGGCGAAAAAATGGCAACCTCGTTTCAATGAGGAAAAGTGTGAAGCAATGCGAATAACGCATTCTCGTGACAAATCGACTACGAATTATAAACTAGGTACGGCCTTAAAAGATGTCAAGAGCTTTAAAGATCTTGGAATTATCATATCAAAAGATCTTACTTGGAGTGAACATATTAGTACTATGGTGAATAAGGCGAACCAAGTCCTAGGGCTAATAAGACGGTCTGTTGGAACAGCTAATACAACAACTTTTTCATTGCTTTACAAAACATTGGTCAGACCACTTCTAGAGTATGCTGCTCCAGTCTGGAACCCATATCTTGTCAAAGATATTCATGCAATAGAGAGCGTGCAAAGACGCGCGTCAAGATAAGCTCTTAGGCAAAAAAGAGGTGATATGTCTTATGAAGAGCGTTGTGACTCGTTACATTGGCCATCTTTGTCCAGTCGTAGGACATATTCCTCTCTTGTTGAATGTTATAAGATCGTGTTTGGCTTATCACACTTGGATTTTGAGGAATTCTTTCAATTCGCAAAAGTCAAATCCACTAGGGCAAATCACTCGTATAAGCTTTATTGTAAATTATCTAGAATCAACTGTTTTAAATATTCTTTTTTTAACAATGTAATTATTTATTGGAACAAGTTACCTAGTAATGTTGTTGAAGCCGGTTCCCTTGAACTTTTTAAATGTAAACTCAAATCCTTTTTAAAGTTGTAATTTTTATTGTTTGCTTGTTGTTTTTAGGAGAGTTTTATTCATAGGGTTAACCTCTAGACTCTCCCTTTCAAATTCATGTAGTTATTATGAGTTTGAATAAACATGTATGTTATGTTATGTAACACTTAAACTTATCAACGAATGTTTTCGTTAGTCCACTTTTGGGTGCTGATTAAGATGTCCCTTGAATGGAGGTTAAAGCCGGGTTTAGGGATCCAGAAAAAGTGTTCCTTTCCCCAGAATAGAGATGTCCCTTCAATAGAGGTAGCAAATAAAAAGGTTATGTTTGTGAACACTTTCCTGGGACTTCCCTAAATTTTCCCTTCAATACGGAGGTGTCACGA